CGTTTCGACACAAGATGCGTGTCATCATTCAGCAACTACAACAATTTGAAAATTTTATTAACTAAATAAACAACAATAAAAATTAATTATAGCATAGAGAAACATTATACACACCACAGGACAAAAACACTCAACAACAATTTATTTTAAAAAATTAAACTTAATAACATATTAGAAAAAACATTTTTTAGAAAAAAATTATGTATAACTAAAAGATTTGAAAACTAATTTTACTAAAAGTTATGAAATACATCATTGTGAAGCTAGAAGCACGCCCATACCGAGCATCTAGACTCGACTGAATTATTTCAATAGGCGTGTTGATAGGAATGGGAGGGGACGCATCAAGGACAAATTCTACGCTGCAAGAGAACGCATCTATACATCTATATATATCTATATATATATATATATATATATATATAAAACCAAGAACTAATATTCATTCACTAACTAATATTCAACATGAGGTAATAGAGGTTAGAAACACCGAATGACATTTGACAATCGAATGCAAATGTCATGGATGAAATCATTGATAGTATCATAGATTGAATAAACTACATGGATAGTTTATAAATAATTAATTTTAAATTAGAATGAAATAAAGGGATAAAAAGTATCCTATGTCCTTCTCCTGACTCTAAGCTACCTCCATGCCAATTTTCATCTAAATCGGTTCAGCCGTTCGTGAGTTATAAGTGGTAGCACATAAGGCGATCCTCTTTTATATATATAGAGTTCGTTCCATCCGAGCCAATCTGACAGTCCGAAACTGTTTCAAACTAGACCAAACTCTTTCTGATTTTTTTATGGCAGTTGGCAATGGTTTGGTTTGGGTACATCCAACGCGTTCGAACTCGGTGCTCACTCGATAATAATAATAATTATTACTTTAATACATATATATATATATATATATATATATATATATATTTATTTATATAGAATTTTATGATATGAGTGGAACGAATATTAATTGTTTAATATGAACAAAACAGCACTCAGATTTTTTTAACAAAATTTGTTAAAAAAATCTGAGTGCTGTTTTGTTCATATTAAATAATTAATATATTTATATGTATATATTAGACATATTCTAATAAAATATAACTTAATTATATCAATGAATTTGCTTTTTAATATTTCCCAGTTATATATCGTTATGTCGCTTTTAATCTAATATTCTACAATATTTGGACTCCTGTAAATTCATTAAATTTTTAATGTTCTATTTGAGATTAAATAACATTATATTTTAATCGTATTAAATTGCGGAGTTTTTGTTTGTGCTGGGTACAAACACAAAATGACAGTTTCAAACTCATCGGACTTGATGGAACGCATTACTGACAATCCGCAACAGTTTGGAATCCGAAATTTTGGATGGAACAGAAAAAAGTGTTCTGCGCATGCGCGGACAGTTCCGGACTGTCAGATTGGCTCGGATGGAACGAACTCATAGATATATAAAAATGGAGCTCTCTTTCAAATGTCCGAATAAAACTCGAAAACGGCTGAATCGATTTGGCCAGTCTTAGTCTTGAAAAATTCGTGCCAATCCAGAGAAAGTCCAAAAAGTGAGAAATTATTTTAAATCCGCGTAGAAACTTTACATTTTTAATTTGAAAATTTTTGCAGAAGCGTAATTTAAATAAAACAATGGACGGTGGCAATTTCGTGAAATGTCAAACGCTTTTGACAGATGATGTTCAATTACGTTTAATAGGATGTTTTACGCGAATTTTATTTATTTATGATAAATTTGTAGTAAGTAGTTTTGTTTGTAGTTTTATTTATATACAAAAATGTTAGTAAACGGGCCGCAAGTTTTACTAGAGACTCAAAATATAAACTTTTTTGATATGTTAATATGAAAATGCACTTTTTGGCATATTTTTCTCAAACACGGTGCTCTGAAAGACCTCATTTATATAATTATATACTCATTGGTATTTATAAAACATTTTCTAGATTATATTATTTTTTATTTATCTTATTTAAATTCAGAACCTAAATTTGGTATCGATCAAATGGACATTTTGTCGAATAACATTTTTCCAATTATAATTTCCCAGAATTTATCGCAGAATAGATATTAATGTATGAAGGTCCGGGATTATAAAGGTCCACCACCGATGTGCCAAAAATCAGTGAAGTTAAGCATTGTTTAACAACAATATTTGAAAGTAGAGAAAAAAGATGTATAGCCAGCTACAAACTTGATTTGAAAATGATAATCATTGAAATGGGGGAGATAAACGGTAATCTTTGAAAATCTATAATAAAAGTATTTTCTTCCGTTGAAAGTTTTAGCATTAGTTAAAAATGTAATTATTTTGTAAAATACCTTTAAAATTATAATAAGGCTTTAAACCTTTTGCCACCTGCCCGTTACAAGTTACCCCGCCTATAGGGTAAAAAGATCTAGATAACAAGTTTTCGAAAGACATCAAAAAAGCACATTTCTACAATGATGAAGTAGAAGTCAGTTTACTGAACGTAGTCAGATAATTGTTCGTTTGATATGTCTTATTTATTGTGATATAATTGTTATGGTTTTCACAATATAGATTATATTTGCTCAAAGTCAAATTGGACCTTTGTGCCTCGCCCTGTTCTACATATATACTTTTTATTAAATTTACTTTAATTCATCGAATGTAACTTGAAACTTTTCAAAAAGCAGGTCAAAGAAGAAATACTTAATTCATTTTTTATCTCTCCTCGCAAAAATTTGAAAAATTTGTATAAGCTCAGTAGTATTATTTACAATTATACACAAAATCCAGAATCCAAAAAGAATCTGAAAAACTTGACACGTAATTAATAAGCCGAAAGACCAAAAAAGACTCGGATTGGATTATACGATGTTTTCTATAGAAAGTGTATAAAACTTGCAGTTTGATTGTATTGACAAAATATAGACAAACTAATGGGGTTTATTGTTTTTATAATACCGCATAGTATATAGCATTCAAACAACACATCCTTATGCACTTAAAGTATTAATATTTTTGATTCTCTAGAAATGGTTTAGAATATACCTTATTTAGCAGAACAACGTTTGCCGGGTCAGCTAGTCTTATATATAAAAATGGATCTCTTTCAAATGTCCGAACAAAACTCAAAAACGGCTGAATCGATTTGGCCAGTCTTAGTCTTGAAAAATTCGTGCCAATCCAGAGAAAGTCCAAAAAGTGAGAAATTATTTTAAATCCGCGTAGAAACTTTACATTTTTAATTTGAAAATTTTTGCAGAAGCGTAATTTAAATAAAACAATGGACGGTGGCAATTTCGTGAAATGTCAAACGCTTTTGACAGATGATGTTCAATTACGTTTAATAGGATGTTTTACGCGAATATTATTTAATTATGATAAATTTGTAGCAAGATAGTTTTGTTTATAGTTTTATTTACATACAAAAACGTTAGTAAACGGGCCGCAAGTGTTACTAGACACTCAAAATATCAACTTTTTTGAAATGTTAATATGAAAATGCACTTTTTGCATAATTTTCTCAAACACGGTGCTCGGAAAGATCTCATTTGTATAATTATATACTTATTGGTATTTATAAAATATTGTCTAAGTTATATTATTTTTTATTTATGTTATTTAAATTCAGAACCTAAATTTGGTATAGATAAAAGGGACATTTTGTCGAATAACATTTTCCCAATTATAATTTCCCAGAATTTATCGAAGAGTAGATAGTAATATATGAAGGTCCGAGGTTAAAAAGGTCCACCACCAATGTGTCAAAAACCAGTAAAGTTAGGCATTGTTCAATAACAATATTTGAAAGTAGAGAGAAAAAGATGTATAACCAGCTATAACCTTGATTCTTATGGCTTTACTTATTTTCTTCCGTTGATAGTTTTTTAACATTAGTTAAAAGTGTAATTATTTTGTAAAATACCTTTAAAATTAAAATAAGACATTAAATCTGTTTGCCACCTGGCCATTCCAAGTTACCCTGTCTATGGGGTAAAAAGCTCTAGATAACAATATTTTGAAAGACATTTCTACAATTATGAAGTAGCTGGCAGTTTTACTGAACGTAGTGAGATAATTGTTCGTTTGAAATGTGTTATTTATTGTAATATAATTGGTTTGATTTTTAAATTATAATTAATATTTGCTCAAAGTCAAATTGGACCGTTGTGCCTCGCTCTGCTCTACATATATACTTTTTATTAAATTTACTTCAATTCATCGAATGTTACTTGAAACTTTTCAAAAACCAGGTCAAAGAAGCCATACTTAATTAATTTTCGCTCTCTCCTTTCTCCTCGCATAAATATCAAAATTTTTGTAGAAGCGTAATCTAAATAAAACAATGGACGGTTGCTAAGCCGTGAAATGTCAAACGTTTTGACAAATGATGTTCGATTATGTTTAATAGGATGTTTTACGCGAATATTATTTAATTATGATAAATTTGTAGCAAGTAGTTTTGTTTATAGTTTTATTTACGTACAAAAACGTTAGTAAACGGGCCGCAAGTGTCACTAGACACTCAAAATATCAACTTTTTTGAAATGTTAATATGAAAATGCACTTTTTGCATAATTTTCTCAAACACGGTGCTCGGAAAGATCTCATTTGTATAATTATATACTTATTGGTATTTATAAAATATTGTCTAAGTTATATTATTTTTTATTTATGTTATTTAAATTCAGAACCTAAATTTGGTATAGATAAAAGGGACATTTTGTCGAATAACATTTTCCCAGTTATAATTTCCCAGAATTTATCGAAGAATAGATAGTAACCCAGTAAACCACAGAAGTTACCACCACGTAACTCATTTTGTAACTTTCGTTTCGAAACTGATGTTAAGTAAAAAAACCGATGCTGTTACGTATAGTTGCGACCTTTAACCTGTCGGTACGTGGCGTGGTACGTTGCACGGTCACATACATTTGCCTTTGAAATAGCCGTGAAGTGTTTTATGAGCGAAACGTCAAATTAATTATAGGTTAACTCAGTTAGTGCATCGTGGACGCAGAATTGAGTATTTTATCGTGTATGTTTGAAATGCAAGATATTTCAATTATTGAAACGTTATTTATTAATTGCTTTTATATTTAGTGCGAAATCAGTTGTAGAAATTAGTTAAACAGTCAGCTGCAAAAGTATTTAATATGAATCCGGCAAATAAGGTGAGTCTAATTGTACTGAACATATTTTAATTTATAAATTATTATAATAATGTTTAGTCATTTGCAGTATATAGGCCGTCTTCAATGCAAAGTCTGTTTATGTGTTGTGATAAGTGATTTATCATGCAATATTGAAATTTCTAACGCACCAGTCAGAAATATAACCTCAATTCAGTGATATATGAATAAAGAGAAGTAAGTTATATAGTTTTATACATATTCATTTTTTATAGTTCCATTAGTATCAGAACTATTTATCTAAGCACAAACTGATATAAGTTGGTTTTCAATTGTAGAGAAAATTACAGTGCTGATAACCCCTACGAAAATGGATTTCAAACTAGGGAAATTTGCTCCAATAGAGAAGATAAATACAAAGTTAGATAAAATATTAGAAATTATTAATCCTTTTTCACCAAAAAACAAGCAAGGCTTCAAAACATGCAAGAAGAAAAATAAGAACACATATCAATAAATAAGAACACATATCGATTAAGTGTTGAAAAGAAAATGAATTGTTGAGTATTTCTTAAGTAATGATCTTGTATTACAGAATAGGTATATTAATGTTTTACACAAAGAGAACTTTAACTAATATGATTTAGTACTAATTTGTAATGTTTTACTTTTAGGAAAGTGATATATTTAATACGAAAACGCCAGAGGTGAGTATAATTGTGCGGATTTTTTTTTAAATTTACAAATTATTATATTAATGATTAATTAGTTATTTTCAGTATATAGGTCGTGTTCAATGCAAATTCTGTTTATGTATTGTGATAATTGATTTATCACATATTTATTGAAATTTCTGACAGACCAGTCAAAAATCACATAACCTCAATTCAGTGATATGATATGAATATTATAGGTAGATAAGTGTAATATATATGGTATTATACATATTCTTTATAATTCCATCAGAACTATTCAGTTAAGCAAAAACTGATATAAATTGCTTTTCAATTGTAGAGAAAGACTGCTCATAACCCTTATGGGTTATGTCAAAATGGATTTCAAACTAGGGAAATTTGCTCTAATCAAGAAGATAAATTGTCATCAAAGAAACAAGCAAGACTTAAAAGCATGCGAGAAGGAAAACAAAGAATACACCGGATATCACACATTATATGGATTAAGTGTTGAAGAGAACATGAATTGTTGAGTATTTCGAGTCTGATGATCTTGTGTTACAGAATTGGTATATTAAGGTTCTACATGAAGAGAATTTTAACTAATATGATTTAGTACTAATATGTAATGTTTTACTTTTAGAAAATTCACGTCTTAAAAATTAAGAGGATAAAATCAATGCAAGAAAATTATTAAGTGTGTTCATCGAATAATTATCTCTGTCATATGATTGTAAGTACTACATAGTCATCAACTTCAAATAAGGAGTATGTTTAGAGGTAATGTTCACAAATGACTAATTTGTTCACAATATTTTCAATTAAAAATTTGTTTACAATATTACTAAGATGTTTCGTTCTATTTCAGATACATTAACAGATGCAAGTGAGTTGAGCATATTTAACGCAAGACTTAACTTTGCCAAGTCTGATTTAACTGAAGTTGCCAAGAGAGTTAAACATAATACATATTATGAATAAATAAATATTTATTTTTATAGGTTAACATTTTATGGACTATCAAATTTTAGTTTTCCAATGTTGCAACTATGTAATATGTAAATTTTGTATGTTGTAAATGATATTATTCAATAAAATTACTAAATATCCGAAATTGATTTTATATGCAGGAAATTTAATTAAATAATTATGTAACATAAAAGACACCTACACGCTTTTTTATTCAACTTTGATACGTAGCAAAAATGCAACCGCAGTGTTTTAGTGTGCAACGAAACAGCCGTTACGTTCTTGCCCGCGAAATAGATACTTCTGTGTGCCTCCCAGGTTACGTACCTGCTTCGTGCGAACGTGGCAGCGTTACGTAACGTTCATGGCTTTGTTACGTTTTGTGGCTTACTGGGAATATATGAAGGTCCGAGGTTAAAAAAGTCCACCACCAATGTGTCAAAAACCAGTAAAGTTAGGCATTGTTCAATAACAATATTTGAAAGTAGAGGGAAAAAGATGTATAACCAGCTATAACCTTGATTCTTATGGCTTTACTTATTTTTTTCCGTTGATAGTTTTTTAACATTAGTTAAAAGTGTAATTATTTTGTAAAATACCTTTAAAATTAAAATAAGACATTAAATCTGTTGCCACCTGGCCATTCCAAGTTACCCTGTCTATGGGGTAAAAAGGTCTAGATAACAAAGGTCTAGATAACAATATTTTGAAAGACAGCAAAAAAAAGCACATTTCTACAATTATGAAGTAGCTGGCAGTTTTACTGAACGTAGTGAGATAATTGTTCGTTTGAAATGTGTTATTTGTTGTAATATAATTGGTTTGATTTTTAAATTATAATTAATATTTGCTCAAAGTCAAATTGGACCGTTGTGCCTCGCTCTGCTCTACATATATACTCTTTATTAAATTTACTTCAATTCATCGAATGTTACTTGAAACTTTTCAAAAACCAGGTCAAAGAAGCCATACTTAATTAATTTTCGCTCTCTCCTTTCTCCTCGCATAAATATCAAAATTTTGTATAAGCTCAGTAGTATTATATACAAAAGGAATCTGAAAAACTTGAAACGTAATCAATAAGTCGAAAGACCAAAAAGACCTTGATTGGATTATGCCATATTTTCTATAGAAAGTGCATAAAAACTAATACATCAGTTTGTATTGACAAAATATAGACAAACTAATGGGGTTTATTGTTTTCATAATACCTCATTGCATATAGCATTCAAACGACACATCATTCTTATACACTAAAAGTATTAATATTTTGATTCTCTAGAAATTGTTTAGAATATACCTTACTTAGCAAAACAACGTTTGCCGGGTCAGCTAGTATATAGATATATATGAGTAAGTTCTTCAAGGGCATACATCATATAAAAAGCAAAGATTTAGAAGTTAATCTTTAATTTTCCAAACGTTTCGACATAGTATTTTATGTCATCATCAGTGGATCTACAGAATGAATATTGAAAAATTAAAATAAACAAGGAAAAAAATGACAGAAATTGGAAAAAGAACTATAGATATAAGTAATATAATTATAACAATAATTATACTTAACAGATAGATAAACAAGAGAAATGAAAAGTAAAAAGAAATATATACAAACATACAAAAGCGTAATATATATACATAAATATACACACAAACAAACATGTATGTATGATATACATGTACAAACACGTACACATATACATATATACGTATATGTAAATATATACATAAGGACATGTACATATGTATATACACATATATATATATATATATATATATATATATATATATATATATATATATATTCAATAGATAAGTCCTGGATTTTTTCAATATATTGATTGTTTCTTTTCCGAACAGTAAATCCAATAATAAAAAACAATTGTTTTTTGAAGATGTTTAATACGACGTTTCGGAACTAGGTACGTTCCATCATCAGGTTTATTCTGTCAAATACAATGTTTTTTTAAAATATTGATTAACATTAATTAACGATGGTCAATACAGATTAATTAGACAACATTATTTGCACAAATTGGTACAGAAAAACTACATGGTCAGGGAGATACCTTCATTACGCGTCATATTGTCCCAAAAATTATAAAGTCAATACAATCATTTCTTTGATAGACCACGCAATCATGTTGTCTCACTCTTGTTATCATACCCAAAACACAACATTAGTAACTAAAACTTTATTAGAAAACGGATATCCCCTCACCCTCATCAATTCCATTACCAATAAAAGACTTTCCTATCATAAAAGTAACAATTATCAATCCATCTCCAAGTTATTCCAAGACAACAATATTAAACCAACATTTCACAGCATGCCTTACATTGAAGGCTTATTTGATTATTTTGCCAAATTACTCAAAGAAGAAAATATTTTCATTTCAGGAACAGCTCTATATTCTTTTAAAGAAATGTTTTCAAAAATTAAATCCACCACCCCTCCTAAATTCAATACTAACATAGTTTATTCCATCCCTTGCAAAAATTGTCAAAAAACAATACATTGGCCAAACATCACAATACATAAGAGAATGAGACAACACGAATTAAGCGTCACTCATCATAAAAGCCGAAATTTCCAAAGTACTCTTGTCCAGCATTCCATCGAAAACTCACATAATTTCACCTTTGAACCCAATATTTTATATAGAGAGGATTGTACTTTTAAAAGACTTTTTTCTGAAAGCAGTTTAATCTTTTTGAATTCGTCAAATAGTGTTAATAAAAGATCAGATCACAATATCTATTTATTTATTTTATTTATTTATTTATTTATCATATAGCCCACAGAGTAGCTCCAGGAGGACTTAAAAATACAATTTTAATATACATATTATAAAAATGATATAAAAACACATAACACAGAACATAATATAATTAACAATACATAACACAAAATAAATAAACTGTCAAATTCCTAACGGTAAAACTAAATTATATATGATGGAAAAACATATTCGTGACAAAATATCAAGATTAACTTGTACAGATGGTAGTTAATTGTTTTACTGAAGTATTGTGAATATCGATATCTTTATTAATTGAGTTGAAATTAGAGGACATTAGCACTATAGGTGAGTTTAATAAAGCATTAGTCTTAGGAGTAGGATATTTGAAAAACATTTGAGTTCGGGATGAGAGTCTAGGAACGTTAAAGGATAGTTGGTCTAGAATTTGAGGACAATCTATGGCATTATTACATAGTTTATATAGGAACAAAATACTATCAGTGAAACGACGTGTAGCAAGAGATGATACGCAGAATGTATTAAGTAAAATATTGTGGTCGAAACCACGTTCAGGATAAATTTTGTGCGTTTTAAAGTATAGATATTTTAGAAATTTTCTTTGAACCTTCTCTATCGCATCTGAATTATTGCTATGGTTAGGATACCAAATGATCGATCCATACTCCAGCTTTGAACGTACAATTGCATAGTATATGCTAATAGTGACAGATTAGATTCAAATTTTTTGCAGTTTCTTAATATTAATCCTAATGATTTTTGCGCCTTGCTACATATATTAGATATGTGATCTGTAAAAGTCAACTAGAATCAAATACAATGCCTAAGTCAGATATTTTATCACATCTTTCTATGCAGGTGTCAGAAATTTTATAATCAAAATGCGTCGGAACGCGCTTGTTTGTAAAACTAATAATTTTGCATTGGATATATTCAGATCCAGTTTATTTTGAACACACCAGGAGTGAAATGAATTTAGTTGAGATTGCATTACTAGGCAGTCATCTATTGAGTCTATTTTAAGATATAACTTGAGGTCATCTGCAAACAATAGGTGAGGACAATTAATTACTTCCGATATATCGTTGATAAAAATATTAAATAAAAGAGGACCAAGGGTGGACCCCTGGGGCACACCCGAGCTGACAGTTGCAAAGTTACTCAAAAATCCATTAAGAAAAATGAATTGTTTACGATTATGAAGATAGCTTTTAAAGAAATAAGTAAGTGAACTATTAAAACCAATTTTAGATAATTTAGTAAGAAGTATATTGTGATCTATTTTGTCAAAAGCTTTACTAAAATCAGTGTAAATTACATCAACTTGTCCGTTAATGTCAAGATTTTCAGCAAGAAATGTTTAATGCATATTAGATTAGTAGTTGTGGAACGAGCAGGCATAAAACCATGCTGATTATTAGAAATTAGATATTTTATCGATGGAATTAGTTTATTAAATACATTTTTTTCAAAAATTTTAGCAAAATTAGATAATAAAGATATGGGTCTATAATTAGTAATATTAGATGAGTCGCCATGTTTAAAAATTGGTACTATACGCGCGATCTTCCAACAGTTCGGAAAAGTCTTTGTACTCAATGACAGATTAAATAAAAATGCAAGTGGATCACAAAGAACAGTTGAACAATCACGTACAAAAAATGATGGAATACCGTCAAATCCAAATGTTTTAGAATTTTTCAAACTTGCCATTGCTACTTGCACACAACTAGAATCAATTTTCTCAATATCAACCATTACTCTATTGTTATGATCAAACGAAATAGGCATATCTAGCTTGGATTGATTAACACTAGTAAAGTATGAATTAAATGCATGTACTATGGCATCAGGTGATTCATAGTATTTGTCCAAGTAGCATACTCTATTAGGAACTATGTTAGAGGCAGTCTTACTGCGTAAGAATGACCAGAAGTATTTTGGATTATGCGATAGAGAACGTTCAACATCTGTTATATATAAGTTATAAGCGTCTTTCATAAGCGATTTTGTTAATTTCCTGTATAATTTAAAATTTCGTAATATAAAGTGTTATTAGTTAATTTATATTTTTGTGATAGTATTTTTTCATACGCAAGTTTTTAATAATGTTGGAATTAAACCAAGGTTTAAATTTATTAGAAGGAGAGTTCTTGGTTTTAGGCACAAATCTATCGAATATACTATAAATGGTGTCATAAAAAAGATCGCACGCATCATTTACGTCGGAACAGGTATACAGAGAACTCCACGATGTGTTTA